TTGTAGCATAGACAGAAATCATGAGGTAGTTACAAACATATGAGTTTGCATGTCAGAGATCATGAGGTAGTTACACACATGAGTCATGATGTAGTTACACACACATGAGAATGCTACACTATCATACATTAGAATGCTCCAAAATAGTCAGTAATGCAATCATTCAAGATGATTTAGTCATGCATGAACACATAATTAGTAGTCAGTACTCAAAGATCAGAAGCTACTACTAACGCACATGAAGATTAGCATATAATATATGGACTAGATGATAAGGCCAAATGCTTCAGCATGTGTGCTTTCCACAAAAAACTAGAACAGTTATATCAATTGCATGAGATGGTACTAAACACATTAATGTCATACCCCAAATTGTCCCACTATTCATAGTTTATAGTGTCATTTTATTTCGAATAAATGAAATGACACAATTGATAGTAGAGCGTGTGTAAGGTTTATAAACACAAGGTTCCAAGGTTGAATCTCACTTTTTCCCATTTTTATACATTTTTCCTTTTTTATTTTATTTTTACCTTTATTTCCATTTTTCTATTTGTATCATGTTCAAAAACCAGGCTTTTTAAAAATACTTTTTTTTTTTACTTTTTTTCATTTTTTATTAAAAAATAGCAAAAAAAATCATAAAGTAAAAAAATATTTGAAGAGATTTTGTTCTTTCTTTATTTTTAGGATAATATTTTTAATTTTAATGATAATCAATGGGATTTGATCAAAGTAGTCATAAATCACAAATCAAATTAAATATATTTTTATGGTTTTGATTATTTTGATTAATTGTCATCAAATATGATTTTATGCTCTTTTTTTTATTTTAACCTAGTTTCCTAACTAAATTAATAGAAGCCATTTCACTGACCACTAACCACTAACCACCAACACCACACTTACAAAACCTCTCTCACGTATTCACTAACCATCGTGTACATAGTCCACAAAAAACTCACAATATACCAATCACACTCTGGTTAGTTGGTGCAAGTAAGTTGGAAAAGTCAAATAAAAATACTCTCTCCTCAAAATGTGAATGAGGTGCCCTATTGTGCACAACTTTTGTTTTCATTTTTTATTTTATTTTTTCTTCTATTTATTTATTTAGATAATTGTTAGATATCTTCTTAATGATCCATGGGCCTCACTTTACTTCTAATATCATTACTTGCTTAACCTAATCCACACCCCTCTGTTTTAATCTAACTAATTTAATTTTTTTAGTTGGTTTAGTTTATTTTATCAAATATTAAAAACAAAACAAAAAATCAAAGTACATTATTTAGTTTTAAGTTTCATTAGTTTTATTTATTAGATTAACTTAGATCATCTAATTTATTTAACTTTATTATCATTGAAAAATATAAAATCACAAAAAGATATAAATTAGTTAGTTTTAATAGGTTAATTAAATTTGTGAATATATTTAATTTTTCGAATAAATTAAATCCACCTCATTTCTAAATAAGTCATTTGTCTCGATTATACATAAGTAATTAATATTAAAAAAAAATCAAAAACAAAAACATTCAAAACAATAAAATCCATGCTATCCATCAAATTTATTCTTTTTTTTTTTTCTTCGTTATCTGAGATAATCAAGTTTTTCTCTCTCACTCCGTGCGACAATCAAATCAACTCTTTTTTCCTGTGCTTCTAATTCAAAACTTCAATCATTTTCACAAATTAAAATCAACTAATCAAACAACTACGGATTACGTAGACTCTGACTTCGTCATCACTCATGAGGATACGTAGGCACACGATTGTGAAATCAAGGAGAATCCTCTAACTTTAAATAACCATTTCCCATTTTAACCTTATGTATATTCCATTCCCTTTTGTAAATACCTTGTAAATAAAACATTTAGGCAAGAAATAAACAATTAAGCAAACAAACATTAGACAAACCCCCCTTAACCCTAAAACTATAAAAGGTTCTTGTTGAGTACAACAAAGGTGAGGGGTGTTTAACACCTTCCCGTCACTTAACTGACTCCTGAATCCTCATTCGATAGTGATGGCCGTCTTACCCTTTCCTTAAGGGATTTATCATTATTTCCCTGTCCTTAGGAATGAATAAGAGATGGTGGCAACTCTATAATTTTTCCCAGCCGCAACAATTAGAGATCAGTAGATATCAACTCTATCACAATCAGTAGTTAGTAGTCACAAAAACTATCCCATACACACACCATTACTCCCCCCTTTTTGCCATGATTTAGAAAATGTGTTCTTCAAAAATGATACATACACACATCAGATCAAGAGTAGACAAATCATAACCAATAGTACAAATGTTGAACACGACACTAGAGCATCATGACAATTATTGGTTCAAAGTTATAAAGGCTAACAAGCCATTACAAAAATAGAATAAAATATGCCCAAATATAGGGCTAAGCAAAAGAAACACCTAGAATCAACACCCTTCAGCCCATCTTCTTGAATTCATAAATGTAACCTAGTCTTCATCAGCCTTTAAGTCAGATTCACGAGTTTGAACATATCTCTTCATCAAGGACTTCATCTTGGTCACAAATTTCTTCCCAGTCATAGTTGTTCCCCTTGATGACTTAGCAAGTGTGACCCCACCATTTGCAGAAGAGGTAGACCCAACTACCTTGTTCTTGTTTTTCCGAGCTTCATGAAATCTTTCAATAGCCTTCAAGATTGAGACTCCTTTGTTAAAGGAACTCTTTCTTTGATTTCCAAAATTTTGGCTCATCTTGAGAACAATTAGCACTTGATGAAAAGAGAGAGGGAAAGATAGAGGTAGGAGAAAAATATTCTTCTTGTAATGATGGTCCAAATAAAAATATATTTTGAAACAAATAAAGTCTTCTTTATTTCAAATGTAGTACAAACCACAAAGGATAAAAACTCCTTATACTTCCCTAGCTTTGACTACTATAGACCCTCATAGATGTAGATACCAAGGGCACCCCTCAGTTTTTCAAATTGATTTGCATCTAATGCTTTAGTGAAAATAGCAGCCAACTGTTGGCCAATTTCCTCATGCTTAAGAGCTACAACTTTACCTTTAACAAGCTCTCTAATAAAATGATGACGAATGTCAATGTGTTTGGTTGTGCTATGTTGAACGTGATTCTTTGAAATATTAATGACACTCAAGTTATAACAAAACAATGTCATGACATCTTGTCCCTGTTGTCCATTATTTTTAAATAAATTAATTTATCTATTAGGTTGTCCATTATTTTTAATTCTTCGATTAAATTAGTATGACTTTAGTTACTTGTAAATAAATGTATCACCATCTGCATTATTCACTCATTCATTTATATAATCACTCAAATATTAAAATTTTCCCAACGCTTTTACAAATAATTGTATTGGATGGATGTACATCCGCACTTTCCTCGAGTAATAAAATGATTGACGCATGTCATATCATTTGGTTATTCAATCTAAAATACCTTAAAATCAATCTTCACCCCTCACTAATCATTTTTTCCGCTGTGCAATTCAAACAAGTTTTTTACAAAAGGATAGTCTGATTTATTCAGCGTGATACAAACAAATGTCTAAGCATTCATCTTGCAAACATACAAGTTGGTGTTTACCTGCTAAAATGCGATCTAACACTATTCTCTAAAATCAACCAACCCAAAAAAAAATTTTGGACGAACTATGAAGCTCTGATTTTCTCATTACACTTTGGGAATATGTAAGCACGGGGCTTTGAAACCATGACAAACACAATAATAGAAATTAACTTTCCCCCCTTCTTTTGTAAAAATATTCTTTTTGTAAATATCTTTTAATAAATAGAACAATGCAAACATTCCTTAAGCAAACACCTTACCCTAGTATATTAGGAGGTTCCCATTGAGTACAACAAATGTAAGAGGTTCCTAATACCTTCCATTTATATAACCGATTTCTGAATCCATATTTGGTTGTGATGACCAGATTATCCTCCTTTTTAATGGGTTTTATCGTTATTTCCCCTTTCCTTTGAAATAAATAAAATTCGGTGGTAACTCTGTGTCTATTTCAGGTGTTTAGACGCTTAGGTATTTTCACGTAGCGGCGCAAGGTTCTATTTTTCCCTTCAACCACTCCATTCAACTTAGGTGTGATATGTGTTGAGAATTCATGACCAATCCCTTCAGAGGAACAAAACTCATAGAGTTTATAGTTTTTAAACTCTTTTCCATGGCCACGTATTATCCTCACTATCCCACGCTTTTTTTCTCTTTGGATATGTTGACATAGCTCTTTGAAGAAATTAATGGTTTTAGATTTTTCTTTTATGATTTTGACCCAAGTGTACCTTGAAAATGATCCACACACACAAAGACATATATTTTCCTACCCATGCTTTATACTTGTATACCCCCCATCAGATTCATATGAAGTAACTCTAAAACTTTTGAGGTTGTAAGATGTTGGAGCTTCTTGTGGGGCATCTTGGTCTGCTTGTATATCTCGCACTCTTCATAGATTTTTTCCATCTTCAATATTAATATTTGGCAATCCCTTGATAGCATATTCAAATATGATATTTTTCATACTTTTGAGGTTGAGATAACCAAGTTATTGGTTCCATAGCTTGGTCTTATCTACCTTGCATATCAAACATGTTGAGGGCTGGCATTTGTTTTGAGATACCCACAAATAACAATTGTCTTTAGATCTTGAGCCTTTCATTAACACTTCTTGATATTTATTGGAAATAATGCATTATGATTCGTTGAAACTTGCATTCAGACCATGATCACATAGTTGACGTATAATGATCAAGTTTTTAGTTAATCCTTCTACCAGCAGCACATCATCAAGGCAAGGGAAACTTAGACAAAATAATATGTCTATTCCCTTGATTTTACCTTTTGCTTCATCACCAAAAGTAACCTAACTATTTGAGTAATATTTTACGGCTTCTAGATAGTTCCTTTATCTAGTCATGTGCCTGGAACATCCACTATCAAAATACCAATCTACTCTTGAGAAAACTCTAAGAGATGTATTGGCAATGGGATATGTGGTTGTTACTTTGGGTTTCTAGACTTTTCTTCCTTGAATCCTTTTGCCAATTGTTTTGTAGAGCATCTGTTGACAATATGACTGATGATAACCATATAATTTATATTAGTGGGGCCTTATATGACCATACCTTCCTCTGTGATAACATCTCACAAAAGAGTTCTTGTAGCCTCAGTATTAAGGGTAAATATGTCGAATTGGGCTGGAGACGTCTGGTCCTCCATCATGAGCTCAGTTTTCATCACAGGAGGAACAAACTTCTTAGTGGGAATTTTGATATTTTTGTTCATGGAACTCTAGCCAAACCATATACCCTTCATATTCCTAAACTTCTCCCCAACTTTCAAGATTTCATCTAACATATCAGAACCATTGTTCAACATACGAACACATTTTTTCATGTTTTCAAGCTTAGAATTTAACAAAGTTATTTCCTCTTTCTCATGGCGCGAAAAATACCCAAGTGTACTAATGCTCGAAATAACTACTGAATCTCCATCAAATTTTTGTTTTTAAAGGAAACATCGATAAAACCCTTTAGCGGATACATGATCGTTGCAACCAATTTCAGGTTCGGGGAGACGATTATGTGAGAGGAAGGTATTAACACCTCTCAAATTCTTTTTACTCAACAAGAACCTTCTAATTAGTTTTATGAGTGTCTAATTTTAAGAAAGTGCTTGAAGATTTTTCTGTTTACTAAAAGACGTTGACGAAAAGGGGAATTTTTTTTTATTAATGTGCTTGACAAGATGTTGAATCTTGCTCCTACGTATTCCCGGATGCAATGGGAAACTCAAAGCCTCGTAGTTCGTGGTAAAAATTTTTTGTGTGTTTGATTTATGGAATAATGTTTAAGTCACATTTGAGCGGTTAAACATTTGCTTGTGTGCTTGCACTATGGAGGCTGAAGCGTTTATTTGTATTTTGCATCGAAATGAGTCAACCACTATTCTTTTATGAAAAAAGTTTATTTTAATTGCAAATGGCAAAAAAGTCAATTTAATGAGTTGAGGTTGATTTTAGATGCGGAAGAAAATAATCAACTCGGGAAAAGCGTACGCTAAGCCTTCGATCACTCAAACGAATGAATATACATCCATCCATTTTTAATCCGAAGTTATTGAGAAAATAGTTTTTGGACGACGAGTAATCGTTTAGACAAAGCGCACGTTAAACCTTCGATTACTCGAGAAACAAGTGAATGTACATTCACCCATTACTTCCAAATTAATTAAGGGTATTTTTAAACGAGATGCGAACAATCGATTTGGGCAAAGTGCACACAAAACCTTCGACTATTCAATGGACGAGCGAATGTACATTCACTCGTTCTTTTTAATCCAAGCTTATTATAAACAATAGAATTAACTTAATAAGAATCATAATTATTCTTTTTGGTATTTTAATATTTGTTTTTTTTTTTGTATATTTTTCCTAATAATAATAAAATTAAAATTAACTAATAAAAATAAATTAAATCAAGAGAAAGGTGCAAAAGAAATTGACGAAGTAAGAAAATATAGGGGAGGTGCCAATAGCTAAGGATATAGGCACAAAACAAATAAAGGATAACCCTAAAAAACAATTAATCAATAAAAATAAATAATAAAATTAAAATAAAAAGCATGGGGAGACAGCCCCCATTCTTCTCCTTTATTTGTGTATGAATTTTTTTAAGAAAAAAGAAAAAAGAATAAAAGAATAAAAAACAATCAAACTTTAAAAACAAACTTGCTAGTTGGAAATTGAAAGAAAGTGTGAAAAAGAAAACACTTTCTTCCTCCACTTTCATAAACTCTATCTTCTCTCCAATTTCAAATCAAATTTAACCCAACTTTCACAAATCTACAAACAAAACACAAATTTAACATGATTCAAAGAGATCGAATGGGAAAAATAATGAAAAACCTACCGATCGAAAGAAGAACAAATTGGCGGATGGAGTCCTTCATCTGAGGTGAAAAGGGAGTGAAGGATCTACGACGACGAAGGATGTGTGCGTCCTTCATTCAAGACTTTTTTTGTATGCTTTTAAGTTTGGTTTTGAGTTTGGTGAAATCTTGGGACGTGATTTATGGTGGTTGGTATGAAAATTGAATGGTTTAGTGAAGATGAAGGTAATGAAGATTATGAAGTAATGGTGCTTATGTTGATGAGATTTGTATGAATGTTTGTGGTTGTGGTTTGAATTTGAAGGTGTGGATGAGTGGAGAGATTTTGTGTAGGGTTTTCTTTTTATGGAGTTGTTGTCTTTTTTTGTGAAAAGTTGTACCTATTTATACTAATTTTTTTAGATAAAATTAAGGGGAAAAAATATCTATATTGACTAATCAGTAATCATGACCAATCAAAAGTAAGTATGATAATTTTTTACCAATTAGAAAAAATATGATACATTGTGATCGATTAAGTAAGTATGACACATTGAGACCAATTAAAAAATAAGTATGACAAATTGAGATCGATTAGAAACAAAGATGAAAAATCAAGAAAGATTTTATTATTTATTTATTTATTAGAAAAAAATGCCGCTTTAAAAAATAAAAAATAATTTTAAAATACTCCAAAAAGTCCACATTTGACTTTTTGTTGATTTTTTAATAAAAAAACAAATAAAAAAAAATACATTAAGATCCGGCCTGCAACCCTACACATGATGCTCCCGCACAACTATCAATTGAGTTGACTTACTCATATAATTTTTTTTTTCTATTGAAATGCTCACAAAAATAAGATAGTATAAAAGACGCAGGTAAAATTTAGGGTACGACAGGTGCCCGTACTTAATTACCTTTAACCCGAGAGCATGAGTGACAATAATTTTCATGTAATCGTGGTGGAAGACAATTAATTAGGAAAGAATCCAAAATTTTGTCCACCGAGGTATGAAAAGAAATATGGAAGAATAAGAAGACATTTAGATAAAGGATGCAAGATCTTTGCCAACTCAAGGGTCAATGCTTAGACCTAAGATAAGGATATCGTCATAAACTCGCGAGTTGATTCATAGATCAAGGATAAGGAGATTATCGTCAATTCGTGAGTTGATGCTTAGATCAAGGATAAGAAGATTGTCACCAACTCGTAAGTTGATGCTTAAATCAAGACAAATTAATCATCGTTAACCCGAAGGTCGATGCTTAGATCAAGACAATTTGATCGTCATCAACCCAAAGTTTGATGCTTAGATTAAACATGAAAAGATCATCGTCAACTTGAGAGTTGGTGATTAGATTAAGGACAAAGAGATCGCCGTAAACTTGAGATTTGATGCTTAGATCAAGACAAACTAATCATCGTCAACCCGAAGGTCGATGCTTAGATCAAGATAAATTGATCGTCGTCAACTAGAAAGTTGATGCTTAGATCAAACTGGAAATGATCTTCGTCAACTAGAGAAGTTGATGCACCGATCTAAAAGATAGGTCATCTCCAAATCAAGGGTCATTGCTTAGACTTACAAGAGGGATCGTCGCCAACACAAGGGTCGTTGCTTATACCTAAAAGACAGTTCATCACCAACTCAAGAGTCGATGCTTAGACGTAAAGTTAGGTTGTCAGCAACCCGAAGGTCGCTGCTTAGACTTAAAGGATATGTCATCACCAACTCAAAGACCAGTGCTTAGATGTAAAGACATGTTACCGCGAAACCAAAGGTTGGTGCTTAGACTTAAAATATAGGTCATCGCCAACCTAAAGTTCGGTGCTTAGACGTAAAGACACGTCGTTTCCAACCTGAAGGTTGGTGCTTGAACCTATAAACAAATAAATATCTTCGTCAACTCGATTTGATGCTTAGATAGAAAAGGAAAATTATCGTCGTAAACCTGAAGGTCAATGCTTAGATCAAGGACAATGAGATCATTGTCAACCTGAACACTGATGCTTAAATCAAGATAACATTTATCGTTTTCAACCTGAAGGTCGATGCTTAGATCAAGATAACATTGATTATCATCAACCCGAAAGCCGATGCTTAGACCAAGATAAAGGAGATCATCATCAACTCGAGAGTTAATGCTTAGATCTAGATTAACTTATTGTCACCAACCCGAAGGTCGATGCTTAGATCATAGACATATTGTCGCAAACCCAAGGGTCGATGCTTAAATCAAAGATAAACTGATCACCATCAACCTGAAGGCTGGTTTTTAGATTAAAGACAAATCATCACCAATCTAAAGGTCGATGCTTAGATTAAAGATAAACTGATCATCGTCAACTCGAAGAATTCCAGAAAGGACTCACTAGGAAGAATGCTTGTTGAGGAAAACTTTATAATGAGAATTTGTAAGGGAAGTTACCTATTGGGAAACCAATAAACATTCCTACTGCAACTGACTTTGTTGGGGATTACTCTGGAACTCCATGAGCGGTCGCAAAATCCTTGCTTATGCTATGTATGCATGCTTTGGGTAAATGCATTTGTTGATGCATGATATGTGTTAGGTTGATCGTTTGTTAATGCATGCCATATCTTTGATCATTTGGCACAGTGCACCATATCTACGACCATGATATGCATGACATAATGCAATGCATGGTCGATACATGTAAAAGGTTAACCGATGATTTGATTTCCAGGCGAAAACTAAACTTAAAAATGATTTGATTGTCCGACGGGGACTGGACTTTGAAATGATTCTCCAGACAAGAGCTGGACTTTGAAGTGATTCGCCAGACGAGAAGCAGACTTTGAAATGATTTCTAGACTGGAACTGGACTTTAAAATGAGTTGTCAGACGGGAACTGGAGTTTGAAATGATTTTCTAGACGAAAAATGGACTTTGAAATGATTTCCGGATGGGAACAAGACTTTTAAAAATAGGCTACCAGACTGAAACTGGTGAAAAAATACAAAGTTTCCAGATGGGAACTGGATTTGAAAATTAACGGTTAGGTGAGAACTGACTTTAAAATTTAACTACTAGACAAGAAGTATATTTTTTTGAATATAAGACGAGAATTGACTTGAAAACTTAACTACCAGACGAGAACTGGTCTTTTCAATGGAGAGTGACAGGCGAGTACCTGACTCTTTAAGATGGAAAAAAATTGTCGGATGAGTACCAGACTTTAAAATGGTGACAACCATACATGTAGTGGACTTTAGGATGATATCACCATTGGGAACTGGTATTTTAGATCACAGACAAGAATTAGATTTAAAGATGGAAGCTGCTAAATTAGAACTGAGCTTTGAATTTCTAGATGAGAACCAGACTTTAAACGGCCAGACAAGAACTAGACTTTTAGATTTTTAGGCATGAAAAGGACTAAATTTATTACTAGACAAGAACTGAATTTAACTGTCATATAAGAACTGGACTAAATTGATTACCAGACTAGAAATTGATTTGAAACTAAATAAGTTCCTAGCGAGCATCGGATTCTAAAGAAGAAAGGGGTTTTGAACTTTGTCATATAAGTACTAGTATTTGTGGGTGCCAAATAATGTTGGTCTTTTTGGATTTAAAGTATAGTGTCGATGACAGATGGTCTTCAGGAACTAAGGGGGAGCTCCACACATGACTCGTTATGCACGTTAATTAAATGAGATTTGTTTTTATGCATGAAATGTGATGGCTAATGCATGAGGTATGGTACCAGAAGACTTACCAATGAAGATTGGGTTTGCCAAGCAATGTTGGGCATTTGTAAGGTGCCAAGTATGATTGGGTTTTTATGGGGTGTCAATCAAGATTGGACTTTTGAATTTTCATGCTTACAAGACTTTTAGATGATGTCGGATTCATACTATGGGAATATGCCAAATGAATGAGATGATATGCATGGTATGATGCTAGAGTAATGAATGTGCATAATGATGACTTATGTAATGATTTGAATGTTTTAAAAAATTCCCATGTGGTGGGCAATGGACGGTTAAGACTAAGACATGTTTTTTATGCAACAAGGCTTCTTGTCAAAAGGTTATAGGATGTTGTGATAGCATGATCTCCCATCAATCATGTTAAACTCAACAATTGCTGATGTGCGACGAGGTTTGCTTGAGAAACTTGAAGATATGGAGAAAACTTTCCCCTTTGTAGCTTATCTTTCCCCAGTCTATTGGGTCTTTTCGAAATAATTCCTCAACACGAGTTTTAAAGCAGCTTTACCATACTATGCTTGAGATGACTTTCCCCAATATTTGAACTTTAAAGTGGTCGGCCCCTGATTAACCGACTCTTGGAGCAGTTTACCGTGTCTAAGAGCGATCTGCCTCTGGTCGTACTGAGCTTTGGATGGATTATCTTCACTTTGCTCTTGAGGTGGCTTTCCCAAATCAATAGGGTCCTGAGGTAATTTCCCCTAACGGTACTACTTATGAATGATCAAGTTCCTCGATGATTGCACATTATTGAAACTTCCTTAATGATAAGTGTTGAATTGAAAATAAAATTATTCTTTTATTTTACTTCTAATGCAACGATCATGAATGTTTTAAAATCATTATTGAGGTGATATTGTGGTGTAAGATGAATGGATCAACAGTCTGACACAATGTTGGTCAAGATAATGAAAATGGTGATGCAAGAGCATGATACAAATGAAGATAATTAGCAAATATCTCAGGAGCCATGTTAATTCAACTTTGTTGTAGTATGCTTTCAAAATAAAAATTGCTTCAATTAGGTCTTTTGAGGGCTGTAACGTGGTCTGATTCACTATTTTTTAAACAAAAAAGATATAAGACTCAAAATTTGATTCTAACTCAACATGTTCTCCTTGATGATCTCCGATCCTATATTCGATTAATTTGACACACACATTTAACTTCCAAGATAATTTTGAAGGTGGAGATGCGATGGTTCAAGAACTAATGAGGTTTTCTTGAAGTAGCAGTCACCTACTTTTGTTTGATAGTCACAAAATTTTGTTTTTATCAAGAATTTTGGTGACCCTTTGTTGATGATTTTAGTGATTTGGAATTTTTATTTTTTCCCTTTTTTTATCCCTAATTTTTGCAGGGATTATCTCTTTCGAGTTTCCAGTCTACCAGGATGTCCTAACTTTTGCCTAAGTCATTTTTTCAAGTTTTAACTTAGGAAGCTTTTTTTTGAACAGTTTCTGAGAAATTTATTAGTTTGACTTTGTTAAAAAGGTCGTGACTGCCACGTCAATGGTTGGTGAAGAATAACCACTATAAGTTTTTTGGTTATCACGACTTCTTCGACACTCCATAATGTGAGAAAGGAAGATGATGTGGTTGAACCTCTTATTAGCAGGTGTTTGGAGGGATTCTCTTAAATTTTGAATGTATAGCCAAATTAACCGAAAAACTACCTGTCCCTAGTTAAGATTAAAGGTTTTTTTTTTTGTAGAGAAAGAAACACCAACTTCTAGACTCGAAGGGGTTGACTCGTAATTAACTCTTTAATGTTTGGAGATTTGAAACAATATCTTACATTATCAACAAAATTTTATTCAAAAGCATACCCTCAACAATTTTGGATATTTTATTTTCAGCATTTTCTGTCTGATTTTTGCTTAAACAAAAGTTTGATAAAGGATAATGAATGGTAAAAGTATTGTCATTTTTAATTTTTTTGTTTCATATTTTTTTGCGATAAACATGAAAAACGAGTGACTATGAAAGAATTGATTCAAATATAAATATATATATATATATATATATATATATATATATATATATATATATATATATATATATATATATATATATATATATATATATATATATATATTGAAAAATCTCTGCTAGTAGTATCAAATAAGATAAAAGAAAAAAAAGTGCTAGCTAGTGTGCTAACAAATCCCTCCAATGAAATGGTTAGATATACACAATTGAGGCTTAGCATATAAATGTTACTGTTACTATATATAAGTTGAATTAATTTTTTTTTAAGTCTTAACAACACGAGGGGTGGCTTGTATTATGGTAAGTTTAATAAAAAAATAATATTTAAGATTACATTCTTGGATTTTTTGTTAGAACATAGTTTGATTCTACAACCCTTAATTAGAGTTTTAATGATAACAAACACAAAGAACAAATATGAACTCTAAATATGTGTTATTTTATATGCAGAAGTTCTGACCAAAGCATCATCAGAAGTTAAGCTATAGAAGCTTTCACGCTGAGGTAATCAGAATCTGCACTGAAGAATTATGATCAGAACCTGCGCTGAAGTGAAGAATACTCTAATTCTAAACAGAAGGTTCATATACAATCAGATCCTCACAACTCTAAGTCATCAATGTTCTGAAGCAATTGCAGCATACAAGATTGTAAGATTCAGAAGCGTTACTATTCAAATCAAGACAGGATCACATGCAATGGGTTCATTCATACAAGAATCTTCTCAATATGGAAACAGTTTAAATGTCCATTATCACGCTTTACGTTGGACAGGATTCCTATGCCTATATAAACAAGTTAAGAGGTCAAATCGTTTACGATTTTGAAAACGACTGCAATATATCTCAAAACGCTGCAAGCTTACATACTCTTTTCTACGCTCAAAATTGTGTAAAATATCACAGTTGTGGTAACTGTTTTTGTAAGGAAAAACAACCATACACAAAATTCTTTTATCTTGTTTAAACTAGTTTTCCTTGAGATTAACCGGGTTATGGTTGTACTCAAGAGGACTTTGGCAGTTGTCAAAGTAGTGATTGTAATCAGTTTTTGATTAGTGGATTAAGTCATCGTTGGAGAGAGGAGAAATCACCTTGACGGGTGGACTGGAGTAGTTTGAGATCAAACGAACGGGGATAAAAATATCGTGTCTCTGCGCATTTGATTTTAAGTTTTCAATTCAACCCCCCTTCTTGTGTTATTCAATTCTTCAATTGGCATCAGAGCACCTGGTTCTGAGTTTATACACTTAACCGTGTCAGTACAAGATCCAAGCTTTAGAAAAACACTATGGTGGAACCAAGCCAAAACATCAGCAATGACTATCATGAGGACAAGGTCAGAATCAGTGGAAAACCTCTAGTCTTTGATGGAGAAAATTTTGACTACTGGAAAGACATAATTGAGAGCTTCTTTCTGGCCCATGATGCTGATCTATGGGACATGGTAATTGATTGATACACACATCCAGTGGATGAAAGTGGTGAGAAGATAGACAGAAAAAGGATGTCTGACCAGCAAAAACGTGACTTCAGAAATCATTATAAATCCATAACAATACTTCTCAGTGTTATCTCATACTCAGAATATGAGAAAATCTCAAACAGAGAGACAGCCAAAAACATGTTTGACTCTCTAAGAATGACGCATGAAGGCAACATACAAGTTAAAGAAAATTTTGACTAATGGAAAGACAGAATTGAGAGCTTCTTTCTGGCCC